AGAGTGTGTTTAGTCCGCTAAAAACATTCAAGAAGAGAGAGAGAGAGAGAGAGAGAGTGTGTATTTAAAGTCTACTCGACACAAACAAGGTCATTTCGCGATTAACACATAGTTCAAATTTATTTCACTAATTCGCTTGCGCGTATGGTTCTTTAGCAATGGGAGGAAACCAATGGACCCGGAGAGAGAGAGAGTGTGTGTGTGTGTTTAAAGTCTACTCGACACAAACAAGGTCATTTTGGGATTAACATATAGTTCAAATTTATTTCACTAATTCGCTTGCGCGTACGGGTCTTTAGCAATGGGAGGAAACCAATGGACCCGGAAGGTTGGACACGAGGTTGGACAGGCGACCCTACTCCTTGTCACGTACAAGCGGGGATTCGAAACCACACTACTTGACTCATTGACAGACCTTGTACTCCATTTCCCCCCCTCCCACTCCCCCTTCAAGAATGTAGAATATTGATCATTAAGTTCATGCACAGATATAATTGAACAGAGTAGGTTATATAAATAGTACATGTAAGTAGTTTGAAAAGTAAATAATTGTACATGTGGATAGGCTAAGGTTTATTAATGAAGATATAACTTCTGAAGAAACCTGCGAGGTATGTTAACGGTGCATGCAGAGCGTGTCTGTATCAATGGAATAAGAGCAGGCGTGATACTGTTCTTTAGCTTCTATTAAAATAAACTTCCTCGTATTTGATCTATTCCCCTGTTTACATAAATATTTTATTGTCAGTCAAATTATTAAGCAAATATCTAGTCATATAATGACCCTCTTAAATCATAATGTGGACTATTCTACGAACTGATACAGGTACATAAAGGATAACGGATGTAAGACAAACTAGACAAAATAAGAATCAGTAATTAGTGGTTTCGTTCCCTTGGTGGCGTGTACCAATTTCCCTATTCACATTTATGGACTTTGAATTTGAATAGGCTGGCACAGTATTTTATTCTCTATTTCAGTTCGCTTATAAAAACACCCTCGATAAGAACAGTTCATAGAAATATTAAGTCATAATTATTTACTCTGTTAGAAATTAAAAATAATAAAACCTTGCCTTTGTCTTTTCAGATTTTTCTGTTTTTTATTACGGGTTATGGGTTACTGGCCGTATCTGTTGAGGAAATACACAAATCATAATACTACACCTAAATACCTACCTACTTAATATATGTCTTCTAACAACATTTGACATGTAACATTTATTATTTGTATTTAAATGTGACAGTAAAAAGGTGTAATAACATTCTATGCTATTTTTGGAGTTGTGATGTTACTTCTATTTTACTATACTTAAACAACGTTTTCAACAGTGCTAAAATGGGCATATTATATTTTCATCCATCTTAACATTAAAAAATAACTTTGAGAGATTATCGACTACAAGTCGAAACCGTTGCATGATGAACACATGGAATTCAAACGGGGGCAGATTTTATGTCATCGAATACATTAGGTGTTTTTATTATAGGCGACATATTTACCCACAGTTTCAATTGATGACTCATTAAAGCCATTGATCGGCATTTGCATTTTGCTAAAACGTACCCCAATTGATTATATATTATTTAATTAAGAAAATCAAACCAAAATATCTCTAGTATATAAACTCCCGACTTCTAGTCAATTGAATTAAAATGCCGCGCATTTCTACATCATCTGTAGAGGAAATCTAATATTGTGAATATTTTAATTCAACACATCATTGTAAATACTGAACGGAATTTAACCGTTTCACAATATTGTAGTTACAAAGGAATTCACCCCCACACACACACAGAAAGTCTAAACTTATAATAAAAAATATAGTAAGCCATTTAAATCTGGTAAAATTATATTGTTTCAGTTCCATTACCCAAACTATAAAGGGATTCCCGTCGTGCAGATAAGCAGGGCGTTAAACCCCATTTCATATCTATAAATGGATTATTTTTTTTTAATCTTTGACGTCAATGTATAATCGTATTCTAGTGTTATAATAAATGATGTCGTGATATTGTTGGGAGCGTATCTTATTCAAATTCCAGGACATCCGTGATTCATTTCAGATGAGTAACAGATTTTCATTATGACTACTGAACCGTACCTTTAATTTTATTCAAGTATTTTATTCTGGTAGATTTTATGAAATTGACTCGGAATAAGTGAAAAGATTTATTTAATAGTCATGTCACGATAAAAATGTTCATAAATTTATAGGGTTTCCAATTGTCATCGTAGATATAAATTCCATTCTATAATAAAGATCAGCCTCTCCTTCTCGAGTACAGATCACGGTCAGGGACCGTGAAGCGGTAAATCCATTAATACCCCTGAAAAATATGCTTTTGATCAAATTTCGCCTGACCGCTTTTTAATCAAATTGGGGACTGTCAAGTGGTCGATGGGAAAGGTATATAACGCGTGAACCGTTATTTGTATGTGGTGGACAATGGATTGGTTTCTGACCTCTTCTCTGAAGGTTGTCTGGGTATGACAAGGGTTATATTGTTAAACACCTGTAATGTTCATGTATTGGTGTCGACGGTTATACAATCTAACATCAACAAACCTCGTCTTTACAATATCCCCCCATGTTCTAAACAATAGACTCTTATGGTGAGCTTGAGAGTAAACATAGCTCGATGTCTTATTGTAGTTCATTTTACAAATCAAGGCAGGGTTCTCTACCAGATCGCACACGAATTACAGTCTCTTAATACACGAGTGACTTCATAATATACCCACTGGTAGTCTAATGCATATAAAGTCAACGGGGTTACCCTTTGTAAAAGAGACCATGCTAAGTCTCAAATGTTTAAAATGTGACCAAGGTTTCTGATAGTCCATAAAAACACGATTAATTAAAAGGGGATTGAGCTGGAAATGGTAAGCCATTTAATGGTTGATAATCTAAAACGGGATTTCAAACCTCTCTTCCATCCCCTCCATGAATCTATTTTCAGACTTTTCACAGGAGTTTGATTTAATGGTAAGACTTCAAGAAAGATTCGCGTAACTATTTACCCTGTCCCATCGTTCGTAATTTTGTGTCAACCTTTTTGATGTGTAAAACAGATAATTGAACTTAGAATAAATCTGGGTGTGATCTATCTTGTATGACATGTTATCGACGTATGATGTATTGTATTTGATTTTATAATTTACCAGAGGCGATACAGTAGTACGCATAAGTTACAGTCAGTAGTTTATGCACACAATACGTTGATTGATAGTGCCTTTCTTCAATATTTTACACGACAAAATCAATTCCAATTTAGAATCAAATGTTTTAGCCGTCAATGTTTTTGGAATCCCGTTATATACCTATTGTCTACAATGTCGGGTACTTTCGCTCCCTTTTTTTTATCGGTGGTGCTTACCCCTTCTAGAACACCTGGTACTGTTTAATAGGTACAAATGAGAATGGGTAATTCGGGATTATCTGTAACATCGAGTCCCAGATCTCCTATCGGTCCTTTCAGTCATTCTCCGGAAAATGAATCTTCACAATTAAACTTCATTAACGCCGTTGTGTCATAGATAGGGGTCTATTTTGTCATTATTGTCAGGGACCTCTCGTGAATGTCATCTACTTACTTTCATTGCAGTGCAACGTGTTTATGCATTTGGCTTTTTAAAAACAATTGAAGAAAAAAGTTATCTATCTTGTTTTACATATCTTTATCGCAGGGTGTGGAATATCAGTATGCCTGATTACGCATAAACCCTCTTAAGGAACTACATTATAATCTCATTTATATAACTGGCTATAAAAATGAATGTAATGAATTTAGTCTATTTAATGCCGAAACTTATATGAGGAGTTTCTTTCATTTATTTATCGTGGTCATTCATGTGTTCATAATCTTAGTACTATGCGATCGAAACTTGTCTTGAAAGGTATTACATTTCAATCACTTACTTACAGTCCATTGATATCTATTCCACACCCATGTCACGAGAAATATATTAAGAATGTTACACATTGTAATCATATACTAAACCACATAATTTAATTCAGCTGTCAAATTTTAAAGAAAGGAAGATTTATGATTAAAAATTCCGCCGTTCGCCATGTAATGGAGACCAAGAAGCATGATCGCATATTCGCCATCGAAATTTAATTTCAAATTCGCCTGCTGGCTTATAAATGCATCAATTACTTTGCATCCAGAATTTATAAGAACTAATAGATATGCATTCTCTCGGTAGAACTCTACGATCATACCATCTTCCAGCTTTTAGGAACCAATTCTCTGAAATCATTTTTTTCCATGTTCCATAGCTCATAACTTTATGATTTTAAGACTCTAATAAAACCCCAACGATATTCAAAAAAATTTTGGATATTTAGTCCATGTACTGCTTTTGTGGCTCAATTTCAATACTGTACATCTATTGTAAATATACTAGAACAGTAGATCATATTATTTTGTTGTTATCTTGACCCTGTGGTGTTCTATGTATTTCATTGTTATATATCTTATTTTGTTTATTCTGAACACTGAACACTTACAGAAATGTTGCGATATGCAAAATCTTCGCATATCAGAACAAATTCCTGTATGTATTAGTCAATTCCTACATTTATTAGTCCCAATTAGCCCAGCCTACACGCGGTCGGTGGCCAAATTATCAATTCCAGGAATAAAAATACGTTGTGACAAACTGGTATTTTGATCTCCAAGTTCTCACAAAGATCAATATTCAAAGCTACTTATAGAATCAGTCAGTTATTAAGCATATCGGGTTGTTCAAAGAGCTATATTGATGACCCAAAATCGTTGATAACCACTGACCAGAGAATACTGAGCTAAAGACAGACTTATAAATGAATATAAATTTCAAAGGATATAAATATATTTTTCAAAGATGTCGTATTATCTCTTCTGTTCAGAACAAAACTTGTACAAAATTATCATTAACACCTAATAAAATTTATAATATGAAGTGTTTTTTGTAATAATTAGTTTAAAAAAACTGAAATAATAAAACTTACCTTATCGTGAAAACGGGTTCTCCAACTACTTGACATGTTTAACTTTTGTTTTTATATTTTCCAGAAATACGTAAAATCCGTCCGAAATACTTGAACACCTTCGTCTCTCTTGGCTACTTTATTGTCAATGAGAATATTGTGTCCGCCTGGGTGCGCGTCTATCAAAATATGCTTCAGGCGCGCCTTGTTTTCAAGGGGGTGTGATCTGGTTTATGCACAAAACAAACGGTGTACGTGATGGTCAATGATTGTAGTTCTCAGTTCAAAGTTGAATCGGTTGTTCGGTGACCTGTATGCTGGTTATTCCGTTTATGGTTAGAAATCTAACAGGGCTCGTCTTTTAAAATGTAGATTTCGCACAATACCGCGTTAATTAGCTGTTGATGAATGAACGTAAATTACTCTGTTATCGTATAGACTTTCTCTAAAGGGATTATAACTAATTTGTTATTATGTAACCGGCTCTGTTCTCATATTGGTTAAAATCTTGGTTCGCACCTGTAACTCCGCCTTAGGTTGAGTTGCCGAGAAATGTCGATTGGACAATTGTTGTGAACGCGGATTTCATAATGGGCCGCCTTAATCCGTTTATAAAATATGCAGCATTGAGGAACCTGAAAGATATTAAAACAAAAGGTGTGTTATCGAGATAAGATACGGTACGCTATCACGTGACTCACATAAGTGAAATAGACTACCGTAAGGATAATTCATAGCGTGAATTCTTTCCAGTTTATTAACTGTATAAAGCTACTGGTGATCTATCAAAAATTAAGATGAATTTAGAAATGTCTATTTTTTATAAAAATATTTAAAAAAAAATCTGAATATGTTTGAGACAATAAATTTCTCGATTCTTATTTTGATATTGGAAATGACATATCTTAATATTGATTGATCTACGATGTATGTAAATTTAGAAATTTTATCTAGCGCGAAACCTTGTCTAATTTTAATTTTGATTTTTCTTGGTGATGCGGTTTGTCACAATAACCGGTTTGATCCGGTATTTTATATACTTTTTCGCTTTATACCCAGCATGTGGGATAATATCAAATAAAGAAGAAAATTCCACAAATTATAGGTAGATAGACTATTGTCCCGACGTTACCGTCTAGCTTTGGGTTGCTCAAATCAAATTTCCCCCATATCGCTGGGTGAGATTTTTTGGCATCAGTTTTATAGCTCATAGACTTTAATACTGTTCCAGGTATAAAAGTACCGGACAGGAACGTGACTTAGATTTAGTATATATAATTGGTTCAATGGCAGGACTATTCGATATGAAATATCTGTAAGTCAGAAGAGAGTTTTCGCTGAGATTTTGATCATTGAGTGGGCAAATTCAATATAATATCTGAAGGGTTTAAAAAACAATACAGCTACTGTAATCACAAGCCCATAGAATCATCAGGTGTAATACAAAACTATGAAAATTGTTTATACTGTACCCAACAGTGAACTATTAAAAGGTCACAAAATTCAGCATAACAAATTTAAAGCCCTAAAATATCAAAATAAAGATTATAGCGTTTTGATCAAACACAACCAAAACCACTTTTAAATATTATTCGCCAACTTTATCTCTCTTAGAAAAATATAGTATTGTGTCATTGTCAACGCATTAGTAGTACAAGTTGTAGCTGGTTGTTTAACGTCTGCTTCCACACTAGTGATATCGCAGACAAGAGAAGTAGAAACTTGCTCCTGTATATGGTTAGATCTATTTCAAAAGCCATCTTCAAGTTTGGTCAAAGGTTACGAGATCTAAACTGGGCTAACGCTTACACTTTTCCTGGACCTAGCCCTAATGCTTACCCTAACCTACAATCTCGCCAACAATCACGTGCCCTAACCCTATTTTCATCTCAGCGACCTTGACGAAAATTGAGTTGGCCTTAAGAAACAGATCTAGCCCCTGTATATTACAATATAATTTTGCAATCGTTCCATTTGCGCCGTATGGTCATCGATTGCTTTAGTGGGAATGACTTCCCTTTATTTAAAAATAAAAACATAATGAGCTCAGCAAACAGGTTGCTCCAATTGATAGTGAATCATAGAGAAAGTATTTATTCTAGCATTATGGATTGATAGGTGTTTTTATTTTAGATAATGCGTTATTTCTAACCTGGATATATTTATTTTCGGGGGGTCACGGTGGCTAAGTGGGTAAGACGCTGGCTCACTAGCCTGGAGGTCGGGTGTTCGATCCCTGCATTGGACGAGAAAGTTCATCCAGATTTTCCGGCGTGCCCACCCCCCTTGTCAGTGATGAAGGACGGAGGGCATGACAAGGACAGCTGTCTAGTCGTTCGGATGGGACGAAAAACCGAGGTCCCGTGTACACATTGGCGTGCACGTAAAAGATCCCTTGACAGTTGGAATTCGATATAAGAGTAGGCCGTAGTGCCGCTGTCCGGCAAAATTTCCCTCATAGCACACTGTATGGCGTATGCTCGTCTTCATTAGCCCAGTTCGGAGCAGAGTAGGACGTTAAACCCCATTTCATTTCATTTATCTATTTTCACTCTCCAGGGTCATCGTCAGATATAAATAGCAGCAGTATTTACATTAAATTATTAGATATATTAAGAATACAATACATTCATGTACATACCTAGGTAATTTTGAATGTATCATTTTTCAAAGAGAGGTGTCAGTCATATTTTATCATGATATGCAGATATGTTAACAAATATACAATCTGAATAATAAGGGCGTCGCCAACTACGTCAGACAAATTATCATATTACCACCAATTATTAGGTTTGCTATGTGTGTGTGTGGGGGGGGGGGGGGTGCCTCGAATTTTGAATCGGTCCACCGACTACAAATTTCTCGTGTTTTGTGGACCAGCTAGTTTAGAATTTATCTACAGGAAATTGTTGTTTATTTTTTCAGTTAGTTTGGGGCTTTCCTTATAAGACAAATATGAAAAGATCTTATGGAAGCGGTAGCCTTTGGCATATTTCTGGATACAACGTTTCTTCCGGTCAATTGGGTAGTGGTGTTGCTTTAATTTGGTGAATTTAGAGTTCGATTGAGGGTCCGGAAAACATGGTTTCTATCACATTAGGAACAAAATCTTTGGTCTGAGATTAAGAACTATGTTTACCACATCCGTTAGCGCATTAACGTCATGTCGTGGATATTAGATCATGGAAAATTAGCAATGAAGAAATTGTAATATTCTGTATATTTGGCACACTATAAAGGAATGATCAACCTGATCGACAAAATAAACCACCGTTCCACGTATTATATAATTAAACAAATGTATTAATCAAAGCGACCTTAATGATTTGATAAGAACGGTAATCGGTTTTATTTGTAAATCGATTATCGGTAGTCATTAACGTGATATGTTTTAACACGTTTCTTCGTGTTGTCCACTAGAATACCAAAGTGTTTGTTTCCACTGTTTCATTAACTTTTAATAGGAGCCATTTTCACACACGAGGGATTAGGCTAAACTAAAAGCTATCTATAGCTCTGCCAGAAATTGTCCTAAAAGAAATAAGCAAGACACTGCCCACCCGAGGTTTAAATTTGACCAATAAATAATCTCAAATCCAAACTTTCTTAATATTACAATATATATTTGCTAACCACTTTTCTTAATCTTATAGCTAACCATGTTCTACATTATTGCTAATTATGATTCTGCGTTATAGCTATTTTATCTTATAGCTAATTATAGCTTACCACATTCTACCTTATTGCTAAACACGACTCTACGTGTTGCTTCCTATGATTCTACCTTATTGCTAAACTTGCCTCTACGTATTGCTTTCTATGATTCTACCGTATTATATATTATATTAAGCAAGTTTCTACCATATAGCTTACTGTGTCTACCGCGTTTCTATCGTATTGCTTACCATGTGTCTACCGTATTACTGACAATGTTTCCCCCGTATTGCTTACTATGATTCCACCGTATTGCTAACCACGTTACTGCAGTCGTGCTTACTACGATTCTACCGTATTACTAATCACATTTCTACCCCTGTACTATGTCTACCGTATTATTAACCACGTTTCTATCCCTGTACTTGCTATGATTCTACCGTATTACTAACCACGTTTCTACCGCCGTGCTTACTAAGATTCTACCGCATTATTAACCACGTTTCTCCCGTACTGCTTAGTATGTATTACCGTATTATTAACCACGTTATTTCCTACCGTGTCAAACAAAGGAAAGGAAATTATTGCCCTGTGAGAATTTTTAAGAAGTGCTAACATTAGGCATTCAAAATATGCTGATTACTTTTTGAACTTGTCATGTAGAATTCACTCATCCCACCGTCTATACTATCGCTTAATTTATCTATAATCTACGGGTGTAGTTAACGATATGAAACTGTTTCATCAAATGTTAAAGGAGCAGTCACATATGTATAAAGAAAGGTTGCCAGGCAACGAAACATACGCCCACAACGCAAAATCTTTAAGCGGTGTAATATTATCGCTGAAATTCAAGAGGCTTCTTCGTTTCACTAAACTAGATAATTTATAATAATAACATTTGGCGTTAAACAATGTTGTACAAAGTGAAACAAGGGAAATAACTCTAGAAGTAATTACCGGTAATTCTGTAGCCTTCTTGTTTCACTAATTTGAATAATGCATATAAATTTTATAGAGATCGGGTGATAACGAGAATTGATCAAATTTAATAGGCTTCTTTGTTTTAATGATTTAAACAATATACATAAATTGCATATAGCTCGGATCATACTTCTGTTGTTAAGGGTTTCCAGCCTTCTCATGGTTCTACTAAGTTGAACAAGAGTGATTAACCCAGAAAATAATGGATGGAAATTGCTGAAAATCAATAGGATTTACTAATTTAAATAATTTATATAAATGTAATACAAGTCGGATAACTTTTGTCGTTAGAACGTTTTTTTTGGGGTTCTACAAAGTGAAATATGGGACACATGGAAGTAATTTACGGACATTGCTGAAATTCAACACGTTTTCAAAAAAAAAGATTGGATGATGTAGAATGTTCACACGCAATTGGGGACGGGCAGACAGACGGGGATCACGACAATATACAACCACATTCTTTTTTAAATCTCTTAGGGATCTTCAGCAACGATCTGGTGCTCTGTCATACAAACTTTCAGATTCTATTTGATGATGGCGATAACTTGCTTAAGTCATTGTAGTAGGTCGATTTTCAAGTCAATCATTGAACATTTGAATATATTACACGTGTTATCTTACGTCGTTAAACAAATCTTGTTGGCTTGATATTTGACCTCAATTTTCAGGTAAGATATTTGGACTATCTCTGTTTTATATGCTTAAAGCCCAGTTCTATTAACGGATAAACTCTTAAATCCGCAA